GCGTGTGGACGTCCAACACCATGTCGCCTACTGCTGGTTTCACCGTCATTCATACACTTTTCATACGCACTAACAACTGTAGATCGCGAGCAAGAGTCGTGCAGTTTTGGAAATACTCGTTCTGAGCCTTTGAGCCATTACAATCTGCCCTCTATCAAAGTTGCTTAGATCCGCAGCCTTTCCCATCACATACAGAAGTAAGTGAAAGAATGATTCTTCAGACTCTCCAGCAGCAGTTAAATACCACTTCCACCTGATCACGTGCCTTCCACGTCATCCAGGTGCGTTCATCGCAAAATGTAGGGCTGGTCATAATGTTTGGCTCTTGAGTGTATATATATAGGCGATTCTAAATTATTTTTACAAATTAAGAGGGGTAATAGTACTCATCCAGATGAGCAATAATTACCATAGAACCTAGGGTCACATTCCACTCTGAGAGGCAGAAAAGAGGAATGTTAGAATTCTAACCTGAACTTCTAACATAACTTAGTGTTGGGAGAGCAAATGAACGAGACCAAAAGTTGCACAATCAATTTAGTGAAAAACTCACAGAGAGTGCACGAAACAGATAAAACTGAAAACTTGGCGGTCAAGCTCAGACTTTGACTTAAATTCACATCTTTGGTTGCAAAGTCTCAACCTCGCAAACGATGGCAACAAGTTAATTATCTAATCAAGGGCTGATTATTATAAACTAACTCCAACTTCCGTTGTATGCCGAGATTAGCATGAAAGTTCATGCTGTGTTCTGGCTGTCAGAACTTTGTGTCCCATAGAAGGGCGCTTCAAATAGAATGAGCGCAGCACAGTAAGTATAGGAGAACAGGATAGAAGATGGCGAAGGGGAAAAAACTGCTACCTTGATACTTGATATCAAGGTAGCAGTTTCTTCCCCCTAATAATTTAGATAATTAACTTGCTGCAATCATTTGCGAGCTTGAGACATGGCCAAAGATGTGTATTTGAGTGTTTGCCATCAAAGTCTGAGCTCGAAGTAACACTTGAAAACCAAGTTTTCGGTTTTATTCGTTTTTTTGCGCTCCATGAGTTTTTCACTTAACTGATTGTGCAGCTTTTACTCTCATTCATTCGCTCTCCAAACACTGTTGTTAGTTCAGGTTGGAATTTTAATATTCCTGTTTTCTGCCTCTGAGAGTGGAATGTGACCCTATGTTCTATGGTAATTATTGCTCATCTGGATGAGTATAGAGGATTTTTAGGACATCTGGATGAGATTTTAGGATTCGTAAAAACAATTTAGAATCACCCTGTATATATATGTAAGATATAACAAAATATGATACCTGTTTCAAAAAAATAATTGGTGACCTCAAAATTAACATTCTAAATTTGATGATCTGCCCCTAAATTCATCTCTTCTCACAGGTTCCAGATTTTTCTATCTTACGTAATGTTTTAATGCAGATGCCTCTTGTCCAAATTAATTGTAAACTAAAACTCTGAACTGAAACTTTCCAACTCCCACCCTTCTTCCTCTGAAGTTCTACGATACTCTGCATTTTTCCGCATAAGCTCTCCTGCCGACAGGATGCTTTTTATGTATGCTGCTGCTGCTCACTTACTTAAAATGACGTTGTACTTCAAAATACAACTTACTATATTCAAATATAATTAGGAAACATCTTGTCTGAAAAAAGGATCATTTAATATATGTAAAAAAATAAATATTGTGATTTTTCAAGATACGTTGTGCTAAATTGCGTCTTCATGCTTTCCACTCTGCCACACTACTGTCTTCTTGGTCCTCTATGCAGTATTGCAAGCTGTTAAAAGTTCCAGTGCCTTTATCAATGCATTTTAAAAATCATTACATATATACATACATACATATATAATACAAAATAAAAATTATTCATTTAAAATCCATCCCATTTTTCAATTCAGAATGAACCCCCCCCCAAAAAAAAAAACAGAAGCACAGTGGCAAACATGAAGAAACATGGGGGCAAAACATTCCAAACGAATTGACAAAAATTAATTTAGTATGCTTATATATATGTGTGTGTGTGTAAAATATAAAATATGAACTTCCCGAGGGTATAAATATGACTATGGTTATTATGTATCTTCTTCTTCACCTGCTTTCTCCCTAGGACTCTTTGCTAAGCTCCTCTTTATATGCAAACTGCCTACATAAAGATTGTGGGACACATTTAGCACCTCTAATGTTGTACGTCCATGGTTCTAAAAATAGAATCTGTATAAAATTATGGAATGTATAGTGCACCTACAATTATGATGTGCAACAAAAAAGAATATATGTCCTAAGAATTAGTTATCAAGGAATAAAATTATGTATGGAATTTACAACTATGTCTGTCTTCAAGTGTCATCTTTCTAACTAAGCAGTAAAGCCTCTCCAAGTTATAATGCAGAGAGCATCGCCAATCCGTTGCAGCTTTCTCCATCTGATTATATACACACATCAATTAATATATTTTAAAAAATATTTAAAGTTATACATAATTTATAAAGTCTTTTGTTATTAGATTACCTTTTCCTTTTAAAGATCATACGAAAAAATGTTCAGAACTTTTTAAATCAAAAAAGTAAAATCCCACAACATGATCAAATGCCCATTATTGCAATTCTATGTATAAAAACCTTCTTGGGATTATGTATTCAATTATCACAAAACTCACTTCTTTTACTATTGTACGGCCTATTTCATTTTTCAGCCAAGTCAATAAGATGAATGCTTTTCATCACTAATACAGTGTAGCTTACGTATTTTTATGCTATCTTTTGATAGAATTACAGTAAATAGTCAATTTACAGTTTAAGATTTAATAGTCAGTAAACTACATTTCTTACTCCTACTATGCCATATAACTGTGACAAATTTTTCATACAAAAGGACTTAACTTACACATTGAGACACTTATCAATTAGGCTTGTGTACTGAAATTTTTCCATTTGATATCCTATTATTTATAAAATTTTATTAAGTATTAGACTAATTTTCAGTTCTATATTTTCAATGATGAAAGCCATTGTTCATATATAGTTTTTTAAATATTTATTTTATATTCAGGATTAAAAGCTTAGAGACAATATGTATTTATTATTCCTCAGTACTAGTAAATATAGTATTTATTTCAAAATTCTTATTATATACTTTTTAATCTATTAGTTTATCAATCTCATTACTTGCTATTTCAAAACATTCAACTTTTAATTCCCCCTTCAAAATTACAATTTCAACAGTCACAGTAACAAAATGTATCTTTCAACGAATTCATTTTCATTATCTAAAATCTGTTTTTATTAGTTGTTATATTCCAATAATGATAATTAGATCAGCACTGGAAAAAAAATTGTATGCTATACAACATAACAAAATTTTTTGTATTTTTGCTTTTAGAAATTTAGTTTCATATTTGTTTTTGTCTTTTTTAACAGCCTTGTTGTTCAGATTGGTTTTTGTTCTGGTGTCATCATATTAGGGAAGTATAATAGATAACAATTTAATTTTACTTCATATTTACTTTTGATTACTTTCAATTTATAATTAAGTATTCTAAATTTACATAAGGTCATTTACTGTACAGTTCAGAAATATGACTAGAATTTGGTTTTGATTGTTGATCATGATTTGGCCTTGCACTGAGATAAAATATGGAAAATAAATTCAAATTCATCTTTATCTTCCCCCCCTTTTTTTTAAGTATTTTGCACATATTTTTCCTCTTTATTTTTATCAGAACTATTTTTATGACTGTCTAGTGTTGACTTCTGGTCCTGCAATATTAGATTCTGAAGCAGCATACATGTATTCATTAATTAATATCATTATTATACTTTAAAACTTTTTTGTTATTTTTATACATTTATCTACACATATTATATGCCAACAATATCCAAACACCAATTTGGAGTAGTAGTTGTTATAACAATTTGAAACACCGAATGAGATTAAAAATTTGGAAGTAGATCATATATATATGTTACAAATATATGTATATGTTAGACAATAAGAGCTGAGTAATTTTAAACATAGCATGATCACTGGATGCCACTATTGCAACAGATCATTTTGTGAAATAGAGGCCTTGTTATAGCAATAGTAAGTAATGTAATTAATTATACAGTGAAAATACCTGGAATATGAAATGGCAAGCAAACAAAGTGGTAGGCTGCATAAACATAATGACAAATGCCATAAAATCCTGAGAAGCATAGTGATGAAAAATCACACGTTTCAGGTGGTACAGTTTGAGGTTCAAAGTGCTTTTTGAGCATCAATGCAAATACTGGGATTGTCCATCAGGAGCTGAAAAACATCGAGTTTCAATGTCCTGCTGTTACTCAAAAGTCTAACATTTGGGCAATCAGTTCCAACTATTATATGCAATGGTACAAAACCCAGAGCCAATGTACTGTGGAACAGGTGAAACAAGTTCTTTGAATTGAAAAAAGCTTGCTAGTCCTTCTAGCTATTTGATAAACACATCTGAATTAGGCAAACACTTTATATCCAAGTGTATTGTATGAAATGCCAAGTTTGATGCTGGAAGCATCACAGTTTGGGAATGTTTCTAGTAGTTTGAACACGGTTCTTTAACTCCTATAACGAGAAAGTAGAATGCTAAAATGTGGCAACAATTCAGGGTGCAGCTGTTTCTTTATCAACGGGATAATTATTCTGCTGATATAGGAAAGGTAGTTTTGTGGCTTGAAGAGTTGGGTACTGGAAAAGTGGACTGGCTTTCACAACACACTGATCTTAACTACACTGAGCATATCTGCGAAGAACTCGAACCTAGAGTACATCCCGAGTCGAACTGTGCAACCCATTGCAGCCCTAGTGGGAAGTCTTCCCACAGAAGTATAGTATACATATGACTGAGTGGATAACATCTTATTAATATGAGCCCCATGAAACTCTGATTCTACAACTTTGTCTACTTGGCCATACAGTATGTAAACTCTCTATATAATCTACTGTACTTTCTAATAATTACAATGGCATCAAGTTTGATAAAGAAAGCCAAATTTTATGCAGCAAAAACAAAACATCAATACACATAGAATCTTACAGTGACAATACAGCAAATGATAAATACAATGATGATTTTATGCTACTTAAAGAAAAACAAGAATTGAATTATAAACATTTGTTTATTTGTTATGCATAATTTCATTTCCTAGATCTTATAATATTTTTTTATGAAATCATTAACTACAACTGGATATGACATTTTATATGAAACTTTTATTCTACATACACAAAATTAGCATGCACATTTTCTTATTAATCAGTACAACTAACATGATGACACAAGTAGTGGAAAACAAAAGTTTGACACAATATCTGAACAATCAGTTACACATCTATTGTACTGCAGTAAAATATGCATTTTACTAGCATTAAATTTCTTCAGTGCATAGAAGTATAAGATTATATAATATGACAAAAGTCAAGGAAGCTAAATTAAAAAAAAAAGGGAAGAAAAAAGGGTGTAATTAAACAAAGCAATTTAATTTTTCATTAACGTGTGGTGTAATTAAACAAAGCAATTTAATTTTTCATTAATGTGTAGTTAACATAGCATAACAGCTTAGCAACTTATTATTGCACAAAACTCTCATTACCGAATTTAATTAATAATTCTTTATATGAGACAAATATATATATGGGTCAAGTTTTTTAAGGAATTAAAACAGGAAATTTAATAACTTTTTAAAGGGTCAAGGGTAGGACACAGAATAAAAGTGAAAGAAAAAAGTAACATGGGAAGGAAGAGAAATAAAAAGAAAAAAACCTACCCTGGACCCACTACCACAAAGCCAAGGGAAGGAAATGCAAAATAAAATTTCAAAAGTGTTAAATAAATATTTTATGACTGAAACTGCAATGCAATTTAAATATTGCAAACACAGAAACCATGATTGCATGATAATGTCCACATATATATTCATACATACAAAACTGTAATAATCATGGTACACAGCAGATATTCATGATAACTGAACAATAAAATCTGAATTCTAATACAGACACGACTAAACACAGTAAGTCCAAGCATAATATTATATTCACTTAAAATGAGATAAACGTTCTCATAAACAAAATAAAAAAATATATTTTGAACTGACTAAAAACCTCTTATTATTAACTTTGCTACTCAATACACTGGCAGTAGTTTTCTGCAGCAGTTTTTTTTTCCCATAACAAATTCAACATAGTGTCCTCAATTACAGAAAAGATCTAGCCATTGAAGTAGCACAGTGAGATTCTGAGGAAACAGAGAGAGAGAGAACCAGTCCTGCAGCAGGTAGTGGGCCCCAGAACACAGCAGACACCTCCTGCAAAGTACAGAGTATGAAAAATAAACCATGACAGGAAAACTGACCAGCTCAACAGGTAATGAAAAATTCTATACCGCAGATTAGATAAATGAACAAGAAATGACTACCAGATAACACCACAAATTAAGGAAGGAAAATTTAGAACACAGATTCAGATTAAAAGAAAGTTTAATGTGGATTTCAAGACACTAAGAGGTAGTCTGCTTAGATATTAGAATTTTAAATGAGAATTAAAGAATTATGCATGTAACTACAAAATTTAGAAGCATAAATCTTATATCTGAAACATTAATTTCATATCCTATAGAAAAAATGGTACTTGCATATTAACCACTACCAGGAAAGTAAGTCCGCATTACGGTATGGAGATAATACACCAATACCTAATTGTATCTTTATTGCAACTGTACTCTTAACCTTCTAATAATTTCTCATTTTTTCTTTATTCTATTAGCTTTGACAGATTCTGCATTTGTAATTTTCGTAATGGATTTGTAAGAATTGCAAAATAACAAAACAGAAGTTATCTGCTATTTATAATCCTGAAATACTCCTAAACCGTGAAAGCTAAATCCCATACAAAATTATATACTACTAAATAAAAATACCCTGCGGAAATACAAGATAGGAAAATGCATATAAGTGACTAAAATTAGCAGAGGAAATTTATTTATAAGAAGCCACATTATGTTTGCATACCTATGAAGCTCATTTACTGGTGGTTCAAAGAGTCAAATTTTGCCAAATAATAACACAGTACATTAACTTGCCGACCTCTGACACTCAAAAATCAGGAGATTTTTCACAAAATGATAAAAATATAGTTTTTAATAATGAATTAACTTTAAATAGTTACTAATTCTTAAATGCAAGCAACACAAAAATACCTTGCACATAAAAAAGATTTTTATTACTTGTATCGTTTAAGAAAACAAAACAAAACAAAGACACTTTAATCAGTTTTCGTACAAATCTTATGAACAGTGGCAGATTTTGCTTTCGTATTCAGAATTTTATGAACAGTGGCAGATTCGTGCTTAGCTAAACTTACAGTAATCGGAAAATGTTTCGTCTGTTGTGCAATTTTTTTATTTTGAGAGAAATTTGTATCAGCTTTACGCTTATATTTTACAGTATTATTTTGAGACCTGCTAGTTGAATTGCTGAATGGTGCAGAAATTACTTTATTTTTCTCAAACCTATTTTAACAATGTAAGTAGTAACTACACCTCCATTTACTTTAGGTATTTTATAACTTTCAATCGAGCCTTTTATCTTAACTCTCGAAGCATTTAATTCTTCTTTAAAAAATGCAAAAAGGTTCCATTGATTGAGGATTCTAGATAAGCATTTCTTTAAAGACAGCCAGCGTGTACACACATATTTCAAAATTTTTCTAATTTCAGTATTAATGTATTATTCAGTATTAATAGCCAACCTATGACACTCAAAAATCAGATTTTTCTCAATGTTAAAAAGACTTTTTAAATGATAAAAATATAGTTTTTAATAACGAATTAACTTTAAATAGTTACTAATTTTTAAATGCAAGCAACACAAAAATACCTTACACATAAAAAACATTTTTATTACTTGCGTCGTTTAAGGGGAAAAAAAGACACTTTAATCAGTTTTCGTACAAATGTTATGAACAGTGGCAGATTTTGCTTTTGTTAAGAAAGAAACTTCATAATTTTATTCATAGCAATTGCCACGTAGGCTGCTTTCGCTAATAAAAGTTTTTCTAATGCGTTATCACTAATATTAGTTATGCAGCTGTTGGAACTGTTTCAATTTTTCCTTCCTTTTAGACTCCTTTCAAGATAATAATATCAACAATGTGTTTATCCACATTTATTGGTAAATAAGCTGCCCCTTTTTCAGCTGCTAAATTTAAGAGGTGACAGGTGCACCTCATAATCTGCAAATCTGAATTTTCCTTTCTTAAGATGCCACCAACAACAGTCTTCAATCCTATTATTACTGGTGCATTATCGGCACCAAGTGCTAAGCAAATTATTCAGAGGGACTGCATTTTCTTTTAAAGTTTTAAAATTAGCTGTGCTATATTAAAGCCTGTTGAATGTCCTTCTAAAGTGGGGACAGAAAGTAAACTTCACTGAATTTCTGAAGACTCTGGATTAAAAAAAAGAAACAACAAATGGATACAGTGTTGAATCGGTATTATTGCTTCCATTCGTAAAGAGGCAGGATGGAGCTGTTTTAATGCAATCAATAACTAAAGATTTATTTTTCAAACCCATTTCTTTAACAATTGCACCTGTTCTGGTCCTTGCAACTGAGTATTTCTTAGCAATTTCACTATTGGGAAACATTTTTCTAAATAAAGCTGCAGCGTGATCCGATGCATTCAGTGGCAGGTTGTGTTCCAGTAAAAAGGCAGAGAACAGACATTCTGCATTAATAATTTTTTGGTTCTTTGTTTCTGAAGAAAAAATTAATTTTTTGTTTTTTTTCAAAACAACTCACGTTGTCTTTGTGTTCTTGTGTACACACATAATTGAGAACATCCGCCCTTCCACCATGGGAAATCGAAAAATCGCAACAACAGACGGTACACAACACAAATTTTACATTTCCTTGAGGAAATAATGATAAGTGAACTGTGTAATATTTTTGAAACGTACTGGAGTATTTCACCTTTCTCGCAGACATAGCAAAAGATGATAATTTCTAAAACTATTTCCCGAATGCACATGTACTCATACAACTTAGAACAAGATGAACGAAATAACTAAAGAACATCCAAATAACAGCCTTGAGCTTGCTTTGTGCTCGTTGGCTAATATATGCCAGATGACACGCAGTGGAGCTCGATGCTCATTGGAGAACAACGTTTCTGGATATGTATGCTCTCACTCACAAAGCAGAAATTCTCCTCTGATTTGCAAGGTTATGTTTTAGATATAATCTAGAGAAAATTTAATTGCTTTCAGACGTCCAAAATAATATTTTTTTGTTCATATAACAAAGTATTAAGCCAAGTTCAATAAAAATTGTGAGAAATTTTAAGAATAAGAAAAAGTCAGGAGAAATATATTGTAAATCGGGTTGGCGGGAGTGCGGTAAAAAATCGGGAGTCTCCCGCCTAAATCGGGAGAGTTGGCAACTCTGAAACAGTCATACAATTATCTTTCAAAAGCCTGCCTTACTGGAGTAAACGCTACAAAAATTGCATTAAAGTTACCTTGGTGCCAATAAATTTCATAGTGGTTAATATATAAGTACTAAAAAATGTTTGAAATCTGTATAAAACAATAAGAAATGCATTCTGAAATTATCTGTCAGAAATTAAAAATTCAAAAACTGATTAATAATTCTATATTCAATAAAAGAAAATATAGCCTTAATTATGAAAAATGATTCTTACAGTTATTCTGAGCCGGATCTCTGGGTTTATTCAACACTTCAACATAGTTTGAAGGGAATAATCCAACAACACCACTGAGTTCTCCTTTCCACCAAGAAGGATCATCAGTATTGACCAAAGTTATAATATCACCTTTCTGGAATGTCAGTTCATCATGATGCTGCCCAGCAAATGGATATAATGCAACAACCTGGTCTAAAAGGGGAAAATAAATAAATAAAAATAAAAATAAAAATATTTATTTCATTTATATAATAACAGGACAAACAAAATGTACCATAAAATAAATTTTATTGATTAATCTCATACATAAAATATTTTTCATATCTGACTATGCTTGTTTGAAAAGTATAAATCCACACAAGTAAAAACACTAAAATTTGTAATTTGGCTATCAGTTTAAGAGTATAATTAATTAAACAGTTCATAGCCAGTCATGCTGCACTGTAGGCTATATATCTACTATGTTAAAGCATGCTTCTCAAGAGAACTTTCCAAAACACAAATCTACATTAATATTATGTAATGGGTAAATACGATCAAGGGCAACTTGTTTAACCAGATAATGTGATAAAATCATCAGCAAGATCTATCGAAAAAGCTCCAAGATTAGTCTAGTACTTCTGGAACAGCTCGGAGACAGCTAGTATACTGTGATATCAGAAAAAGAGATGACAAAAGACGAGTGCTAGAAACAGACGTGGGGAGGGGGGACACTGACATCTCCTTCCCCTGAATCAAGATTTACTTAATTGCACTTTAACTATGATTTAGTTTTGAATTTCCATCTGATGTCATAGAAAAAATGCTGGAATTACCTATCAAATCAAGATAATAGATGTTCAAAATAAATCAAGAAAATAGATGTTCTAGGCCTCTTTACAATGATAACAAATAAAGAAAATGAAGAAAATGACTAGTTACATAAAATGCCCAATTCAAAACACTATTAAAGAATTCAGATAGTGTTGCAATAAAGGATGTTAACCTATTATAAACAAATAAATCAAGAATAACTACATAATATACAATCAAAATAATCCTTGTTTCCAGCACAAAACTATAAAGGATATATAAGGAATATACAATTTTTTTCATTTCAAAAAAGAAAAATTACATTACACTCCAAGACATTTGAGGAAAGGCTTTTTTTTTTTTAAACAAAGTTAATACAACAGAAAAGTTAAGAATTATATTTGAAAACATCTTCATTATAAATAGCTCACTAATTAAACTGGTTACTGCAATTTTTGCTTTAAATATGTTCCACCATTTTAATTAACACCTATTTTGCATACATATCAAAAGCTTCTCTCTAATTTGCACTGTTTGTTTTTAATCACTCTTTCTATCCCTCCTTTTTCTAGTGCAACAAGTGGATTAAAAAAAATATTAAACTCTGCTTACAATTGGGAAGGAACAAGTTGACACATCATACCTCCTGTACATAAGGGCATGTCATAAAACAGCCAGCCTAGTGTAATGGAAAAAGTAATGAAAAATTTTTAGGACTACATCAGGCAGCTCGAAGAGGCCAGAACGGATCCCTTAATGACATGAAATTCAAGACTTAAATGAACATCAACAACGTTTTGCAATTCATTAAATCTTTCATTCAGAGAAGGAACCAAGCTGCCAGAAATATGCATATGGATAATTTACTAGCCTGGGAATATCTTTTGGATTACCAAAGGATACTTCTCAGGTTAGTAAACAGGCTCTCAGTCTGATACCAACTTATGAGATATCAGGTGCCAATATATTTACAGTACTCTCACTCTCGGAGGATACCAGCTCTGATGAAGAACCACCAAATACAAATAAAGGTCATCAGACATGGCAAATGAGAGAAAAAACCTGCAGTAATGCTTGAAGGCCTCATTAAGACTCAACTATCCTCTTAAGGTGCTCTATTCAACCAACCTGACGATATGGATACTTCAGTGAATGATGACAGTGTATCTATATCCAAACCACAGGTTTCAAATCCACAGAACATGTAAAATACAAGAAAAAATGCTATGGAATGAGTCCTTCTTATAGTAATCAAGGACAAAAGATACACTTGGAAAAAGTTAAAAATGTTTTTCAAAAGCAACAATCTACTTGACTGCAGATAAATGACTGCTGCCTTGATAAATGATGCATGGATACTAAATGACACACCCAAATGTGGACATCTACTACAAACTGACACACCTTTTAAAGGGACAAGTGGACATGAAATTCCACTTGTATATCTTTACAGAAGAAAAGTTAAAGGTGAGATAAAAAAAAAGATCTAAAGAAATCTAATAAAGAAAATTAAGACATTGAGGAACATCTGAAATCTAAAGGTTATGATCAGATGCAGGAATGAAGAAGTGACACAGCTTTACCTATTTCAAGCCACCTTAACCAAATGTGAAGTCTTGAAACAAATATTTATTGAAGTCAAACTCGTTGACATGGGAACCAAAGTTGAAAAATACTGAGCCCTTACAATGGTTCAGATGCTAAGCATCAATTAACACATAGTCTGGATTCAATCATAATTCAAGACGTATGGGATGTGATGAAAATCATTTCTCATACCAATGCCCAAATAAAAGTAAGGAACAGCCATGGTGAGCAAACTGCTCATTCATTCATACTTCCAGTTTTAGCAGCTGCGAAAATTTCCAGAACCCAAAGTGGACAAGACTAAACTCTATTCTGATAGAGTTATCACAAATAAATTGTATGTGCATTTTGCTTCCATCCTCCATGATTTCAGAAGCAAAACATATTCTTGAGGACTTAAAATATATAGTGTTAATCACTCTGCCATTAGTGAAACAGCACAACTTTTCAAACCTATTTCAGATCCACTCCAGGTTAAACCCAACCAAGAAAATAAAATTAATGGATAGTCACACCCACTGTGTACCAATCACAGTGATGATGTGGAATGCATAAAGCCTTCGAAGGAAAAAAAAATCTCTGAGATTAATCATTTCCTCCATGAATATGATACTGATATTACTTTGGTTACAAAAACTCAGCCACACTAAGCAGCAGCATCAACTTGCCTTGATGAATTGGTTTATTAAGTTGGAACAATTCAAGGAGATAAGTTTCAATGAAGTGCATCAAAAAATGTGTTTAATTTAATAGACCATACAGGGAAGTCATGTGGAGTCCACATCAGATTTTTTATTATTTTATGTTTCATTATATTAGTCATTCATCTCTCAACTTTAAAATGGATAAAAAAATTTTTTTTTAAGGCACTTCACGTTTTAGCACAAAAGATGAATTGTCTCGGGGGGGGGGGGGGAATTATCAACTGATTTACCAAATGAGGATGCAAAAAAACAAACAAAAATGGACTTGTACTGCAGGAGTTTATTATCATCAAACCCCCACTACCTTACATGCCCCTAATAAATACATGTAGAATATGCAATTTTTGGATCTCCGAGATGTTATCCTTTACACAACATCCATCCCCATAGGTTTGGATGTTCACAAACTTAATTCTGACCACATCCCTGTGCTCATCTCTTTAGGCACCACAAATACAAAAATTCCAGACTAAGATTCCATGTGACCACCACATTAATAAACTTCCAAAAAACATCTGAGGTTGAATTTATGAATTCTTCACAAAAAATGGCACCTCACCAGGGAGTCTAACCCGAAGAAATGCATCAACAGTATGAAACAGAAAGATAAAAAAAAAATCTTGTATAGAAATATTGTAAATAAAGATGAAAGGACAAAGTAATTAACTTGAGTACAACAGACAATTCCATCTGGTCCTTTGTTATAAAACTAATAATGAAATTATAGAACTAACAGACCCATTTAATCAGGAGCTACACTTGCACTCTATAATGAGAACAAGGTAAAAATACTGGATGACTATCTTTGAAGATAAATTAACACAGCCAATATCCCCTACAAATTTGTCCTTCATCGTTAAAATGAGTACTTTCCTTCAAGATTGGAAAAATCAATCCATAGCAAAAAAACTGCTCAAACCATCAACTATAGCCACTATCAATAACAATATCAGGAAACTCCAGCCAAAGCCCCAGGCCATGATGAAGTCTCAAACATAGCTCTGTGAAATCTCCCCTGCAATGACATTCGTAAATTTACAAGTACTGTTAACACTTGCCTAGCAAAAACTTATTTCTCCATTTCCTGGACACTTGTGAAGATAATTCTCACACCAAAATAAGGTAAAGATGCACAAAGACCTGATGTACATAAACCAATAAGTCTACTATTTAGCTTAGGAAAAATTGATGAATGTATTATCTTGCAACAAATGGAACCACTTCATTAACAACTGCCACCACAGCAATTCGGATTTTGATGAGATCTTTCAGTTACTAAACAATTAGTTTGCACTGCGGAGTTTCCTGGTGCTGCACCTCATAAAAGACAATGCATTGCGTTACTTATGCTAGATGTCATGAAAACTTTTGATCGCATCTAGCATGAGGGGCTTAATCTTCTTCTCAATGCAGGAAAATTGAAAGATTATCCTATCGATAAAATCTTTTCTCACAAATTGAAAATTCATCATCTCCCAAGGAAAAGATTTCTCCAAGACTTACCCAATCAGTGCAGGAAAGCCACAAAGCTTGATCCTCGAATCACTGTCCTATTTATTTTATGCGGCAGATTTCCTGTTCCTTGCCTGTTATACTTATGACACAATTATAGCAAATCAGTAAATGTGAACTTTGTAGTGAAAAAAACTCCAGGATCATGCGTCTGTCATTCAAGATTGTATGTGCAATGAAGAACTGCTATAAACATGCAGAAATCTTATTCATCAGCAAGAATAAAGTTAGAAAGCAGGCTTTGAAGAAACAATTAACGTTATTCAATAAAATTGCACCAGTGGTGAGACATGCTAAATATTTAGGTGTCATTTTAAATGATCATCTGACTTGGTCAGATCACATTACTAACATATGCAACAGAACCACTTAAGATAAGAACTGTCTTCTCCTTATTGGAAAGGGTCAACTAAGTCTTACAAATTTTTTTTTAAATTCTACTATCCATCCTAGCTTTGTGTACACCATACTAGCATGGATTGCTGTTTCTATGAAGGACATTCTGAAACTTCAGAGACTGCAAAATAGATACCTTAGAACGATCACAAGTGCATACTATCTGACTAAGATTATGTAAAGATAATAACAAATGCAAAG